AGATGGTCCTGCCTATAGGATACTAAAATGTAAATATTCAGTTTCTGTCAGTTGTGTTCAGTTCCAATTTGGACAAAATTGAAACACTGAGAACAGTTTAAGATATCCTCAATGAAGGTACCCAGGTACCCAATGAAGACAGCCTACAATGAGTTTTGCACTTGTCCTAAGTAGTCATTTAGTAGTCTTGAGATTCATAACTACCGGTAGTTCAAGGCTCCTGCAGTATGAAAGGAGGAAGGTTTTCAAACTGTGTGCCTCAGCTATAGAAAAATAGGGAAATTATTTCTTATTAGACTGGGATTTTCTATTCAAATTCCCAAGTATTTAAACATTGAAGTTTGACACTGCATTCAGTGCAATGATTTAAAACTAATCTGTTGTCCACATGAAGTTCTGTATCATATATTATAACTATAATAGCACAAATTGGAAAATTATCAATTCCATTTTGACAACTTTTACTGACTTGCTGCGGACACTGGAGCTCGGAGGAGGATCTGGTAAACCCTGCTGGATTCACAGTGACCTATAAAACTCATAGTGAGTGAGTGAGTGAGTTTAGTTTTACGCCACTTTCAGCATTGTTCCAACAATATCACAGTGGGGGACACCAGAAATGGGTTTCACACAGTGTACCCATGTAGGGAATCGAACCCAGGTCTTTGGCGTGACGAGCGAATGCTTTAACCGCTAGGCTATCCCACAGCCCCTGATACCTTTTGAGACAAAGACTCAATTATTAATTTCAAGGGTCCTTTCAGGACATCTGCATGTCCTGTAGAATAGTAAAACTTGTGTAGTTTACTTGTACAGTAAGCTCTGATAATTTACACAATACTTATCTTCTAAAGAAATTAATAAAATGAATATAAAAATGAATATATTCATTTTCTGAATCCATTCTGTACATGTGTATGTACAGGAGGCACATTTCTGTGTACATTTCTTACCTGAATGTAATATCTATGTAACAGGGATACAGCCTCATGAATATTATAAACACTCAGGGACATCTGCTATGGTATAGAGATTGCTTCGGATCATCATAGAGATTCCATGTCAGTGGTTAATAGACCCCTAGGGAGTCCAGAGACTCTGCTGACTCAGCTAAGAGTCACCATGTATAGCCGCTTAGAAAGCTTAATTGATGTTGCAGAATCAGTGATAAAAAGTGAAGGTCTGCTGTTAAATAGCCCATGTTGGCAGGTTGCCAGGCCTGTGTATTGGATGGAGAAAGCAGACGTTAAGAGGGAGCCACTTTAGATGGCTGTTGGAAAGTACAAGGAGATGGAACCATCTGTATAGAGCAAATAAACTATGTGTGCATTTAATTCAGATGATAGGTATTTTGTGGGAAGGTGAGATTTGTTTGATAAATATGCTGTAATAAATCCTTATGAGGGGTATAGCGACATCACTTGTTTGTGTTTACTTAAGTTGAAAGCCTTGGGAATGAGACAATCTTGAATAATTTTGATCAGTCATAATATTTAGATGATTACAAAATGTGTTATTATGAAATAAGAGCCTGGATTTCCTTATGAAAGTTCACCAATGGTTGAATATTTCAGGTGTCCCTTGATCACACGAGAGTTCTGTTTGTACGTGCTAAGTCGTACATGAATATCGGACATTGGACTCCTGTTAATAATGTTATATTGTCGAAAGTGGGTAATATTCATTACAGTCTGCTTATTTAAAAATATATGTGTACAAATAAAAAACAAATAAAATGTGTACAATATAAAATAAGAAATTAAAAAATGGAGCCTAGAGCAATACTGTAATGCAGACTGAGGCAATCTAGATCTGACAATTCATTTTAGACATGGCTTGGACTTCTGTTTAATTTATTTTCTGGGTTCTGTGAGAAACAACACATTGTCTTCAGGACATCCAGAAGTAATTCAATTGTTTAGCACAACCTGAGCAAAAAGAATTATTTAAGTACTGTCTGTTGCATGTTGCGCTGTGATGCGCTTTCATTGTGTGTTTGTGCACGTTCACAGACAGCAGTACCTACATAAACTGGACTATATTGAATATTTACCTGACAGACAGAAGGTTATTCAGTGTTATTACCTTGTACCTTCAAGAGTTCTGACTCTTCATGATTATGTAATGGTAATGAACTTGAGTGATAATCTCCACCCTGACTCTTGTAATCAACGGAAGTAGCTGCTTCATTATGGCACTAATTAACAGAACAGATCTACTTAGATAACCATCAGTTTTATCTTCGAGGCATGTCTCGCGAGGATTCAGCTGAAGACTGGATGTATATTGTAGGGATGAAATAATTGCAGTGATGGTAATAATGGTTGTATAGACCTGCATTCAGTTAACTTCTTGTTGTTGTTGCTGAAGAATCCTTGAAACTATTAATGTTTTTGAGACATTATTTCTTTCTGTTAAATGATTTTGACCTTACAAGAACATCTCTGTGACCTTAATAAAACAAATGATGTTGCCTGCAAAATAGACACAAGTCATTATATTTTCTGTTTGAAGGTTTTTTTCAGTACAAGTTAAAAGAATATTCATATCAAGTTGGTTGATAGGAAAATACAACATTTGCTCTTGAGAGTTATTTTTCCAGCAACGGATGTCAAATGTTAATGTTGGTACTCATGTGTATAGCCCTAAGTAGATCATCAATTGTCTGTAACACACTGGAAATACTTGTAGTGTAGATGTAAGGTAGGAATGAGCTAGGGAGGGGCTATTTCCTTCTGGGTCATCATCGTATCGCTACTTTACGTTGTGCTGGATGACTTCCTGCTGTTTTTACTCTGTTCTCTGACCTTGACCTAACCGCACTTTCCAACATTGTTGTAACATTGCAAAACATTCCACTTACAGTATCTGTAAAAGTGAAGTGATTTGTAAGATGGAACTCTTCAACAGCTGAAGATAATAAGTTAATCATCATATCATCATAGCGGTGAAGGACAGATTCATTTAGTCTGGCATGAGTTTTGCAAAATTACCCTTAAACTCTGTGGTAAAAAACTAAGCCAAGAATATGTTGGAGTGATTCAGGTTTCTGTACATTGTGCTGATATGTCCAGGATAACACGTATCCAGCTGTTTCCTAACCTATGTGTACCTTATTCATGGTCCTTTGTGTTGTACATAAGCAGGGTTTACCTTGACTTACAAAGAGTCGAAATTCCACGGAACCCCCATGAATAAATTTTACAGGCCCTTGTTGGTAATATAAGGGTCCTTAAAAGTATTGGGATGGTGCAGTGTACTGTATGTTTAGAGAATTATTGCAGAGAGTGGAATGAATCAGTGATTGTTTGGACAATGGTCATGATTGATGGGTGAAATAACAGGCACCATAACTACTATTGATGCAATGTAGGTAGGCTCTCAGCATTTTTGTGTGTCTCTTACGATGCAGTATTTTTGTTTCCTATGTCCATTCTCTACCTTTGTGCATATTGGATGCACAAATGTGCATCGCGTGAAATCCTGCATCACTCACTCACTCACAGATATGTTTGTATCATCAATTGCGTTGGGTTCAAATTTAGAGTCTTTATTTGTCAAGATCTATTTAGGATTGAATATCTTGAATGCAAAGGCAACCAAAATCTTACATAATTATTATCACAGACCAGTTGTTTTATCTAATTTTCTGTTTTGATGACTTTATTGTGTTTTTGAATTGATGATATCATGACTGATAGTAAAATCCAGAACAGTCTTTGTACATGTAAGGGCCACTTTTGTGATTCTTGGATTCTAAGCAGAAGGAAAGATCTGTGTACCAAACAAAAAATAATAGAACATTATCATGGAGACAGTTTTTAAAGCTGAAGGAGAAGTCCATTACTATTCCTGATGACTGATCCTGGACATGCCGTCTGCTCTTGATGCCATTATACAATGTCATAGACAGACTTAGGGTTGAGATATTGACTGGCACAGACAGCCCATTTGCTCAGTCTCCATTCTATTTTTCTGGTCTTCCATCGTCAAAGAACAATTTGCATCAGTTGTGTGTCTTATTGCTTCAAATCAATGAAATAAAATGTAAACAGAGACCTGTGAAGGATTCAGCACTTTTGAAGCTAATCTGTTTCAGGCTGTGCTATTTTCATATCCAAGCAGGTCTCATTCGTGAAATTTAATTAAATATCTAAATTGGGAAGAATTCAAAGAAACAAAATGAGTCAGCTAAAGAGCGTAATGATGTGCTTTGGTGTAATACCGTTGTCTAGGAATATAATGAAATGTAATGAAAATCTGATGACCATGAGGCCTGTCATTTGAATCGTGGATAAGTAGACTTTACATTGTGAGAAGATTTTTGACCTAATGTTCTTTAGCATGATCATGGAATGAGTTGACGAGTAAGTTATGTACACCTGTGACACTTTGGTGGAACCCACAAACAAAGATATGGTGCTAACAGAGGGTCATATTTATGGCAAACCCCACGATCAGCAAATCCTGGTGTAGCCATGGGACACAATCCTGCTATTGACAGTGTATAAAATATAGCCCGTCCCACCGTCCTAGACGGTCTATTTTGTGAAGGACAGTCTATTAAATAAGTAAGGCCGTCCTTTGGTCAGGGGTAATATTTGAAACAATAAACTTCACTTGGTTTCAATGAAGAGTTTTAGTTTTGGGGACTGGCTGTACTTGTTCCGGACTGGTCCGTTTTTTGGACAGTCAGTCCTTGGACAGGCCACATTTGAAAACTATTTTATACACTGCTATTGATGCTCTGTATATAATGGTCAGTCAAACCTGAGATTAGGAAGGAATATTGAGAAACAATGGAAAGACTTCAGTTAATCATTCCGATATTTATCTATGCATTGAATCTTATTTTTGAGTTAATAATTGAAGAGAGAACCATAGTAAAGAAATGCCATATCTAATTAAATTTGACTGCAGTTTACTCCTGAATGACCTTCATGTCCTATTTAACGATATTGATGCATGGTTAATGGATGTGTTCCTTTGATGTGTTTCAGGTGCTACAGGAAACTACCTGAAAGTTCTCATCGCCCTTGGAGTTATTGCCGTTCTTACACAATGTATCTTCCATATTGTGTTGGTTGCCATAGCAACAGATGCAGAGCCCTATGGTTCCATGTTTCCAAACTGTAAGTCTATTTGCAAATGATGGAAATAATATTCATTTCGCTTCTATGTGGTTGATGGAATCGGCTTCAGTGTCAGTTTGATCACACAAACTGTGGTGTAATATCACTGAAGACACTGGTTATATTTCTCAACCTATCATTACAATGCCAAATCACACAATGTTTTATATTTTTGTCTAATAAATGACAGGGAGAACCCCTAGATATATCCTACTATCAAAAAACAAAGAAAGAAGAAGACTCAATATTGTTTTATGATTGTGGTTAAGCTGTCCAAGCTGGTAGGTATAGGACCTCACAGAGTTCTAACTGTGTTGGTGTTTCATCTTGTTTTGAGTAGTATATATTCAAGTGAAGTTTGTTTTTAAAACTAGCAGCAACAAAAAGATATAAGAGAGTACTATTGCTATTATTTCTATTTTCATGCCTTCCACATCATATTCTGATTCAATTTGATGAAATTTGAAAAGTTAGATCATATGTATATATGTTTAAAGGTCACATGCAACCAAAAAATCAAACATAATTAAAACACAATTATCACTTATTCGTGACATATAATATACATTGCTGGTTATGAAAAAACATATAAACAAAATTATAAGCGTATAATCGCAAATCAAAAGTGCAATATTGTGTACTTCGGTTTACTTCCCAAGAAACGAAGCAGCCGGGATACCGAACCCAGTCAGAGCGGGTGGGTGTGCACTCAAGTGTAACGGCTGGTTCATTTGCAGATGCCCTCACGGCTTATTGTGTGTGTATATGTAGAGATGTTGGGTTTTGTAAATACATGCTCATTTTTTGTGTATAACATTTTGCAATCAACAGACATCATAACATGTCATGTGTTTAAGTATCACACCTGCCTGTCTGTGTAATTACATAATGTGACAGAGACCGAACTCGGGCCATAAATCAATGCATTATCTTTATGGTGTATAGCCTGATTGGTGTTAAGTTCAAATTGCATGTGGTCAGTGATAGCAGCTGTGTATTGAATATTGTCATTAGCAGACAGGCAGGCAGACACACAGATGTCAATAAAACAAGACATTGAGTTTTGTCTGTGACAACGACATATCTATATCACAGTTAGAAATTCTGTCAACGCTAAATAATGACATTGCTTTTAAGTATCAAACTGAGAAAGTGACTCGGTAAGAAGAACGTGTGGTGAAATTATATAAACAGTTTATTTACTGTCATAACATATAAAAAGCTCACGCCTCGTGAGATATCAACAAAACATTAGAAAAATAGCTTACACCAAAGCCTTCAATCGAGTATTCACCGGACAACCCGCTTCCCAGTTGCGAACCTATTTCACTGCGCGACGTACTATGAGCGCAGCCCAGCTGTTGAAACCCGTTTTCCCCAGAAAAGTCTGGGGAAAATTAGTGAAACGTTTGAACTCCGATTTCGCGCGTTTTTTTTCATCGCGTTATTTTTCAACTTTATAAGTTGAATTTGCATTTTTGACGATTTGTTTCGGTAAGTCCATACCGAAAGGTATCAGAATCTGCAAAGTTGTGTTTTACGTTGCATGTGACCTTTAACTGAACTATTTGATAAAGCTTTAAGAAGAGCTGGGATCGGGTGGTCAGGCTCGCTGACTTGGTTGACAACACGTCATCGTATCCCAGTTGCGTACATCGATGCTCATGCTGTTGATTACTAGATTGTCTGGTCCAGAGTCAATTATTTACAGACCGCTGCCATAAAGCTGAAATATTGCTGAGTGTGTCGTAGATCAAAACTAACTCACTCACTCACTCACTCAAGAAGCAGCCTTGATAATGAAGTCAGTTTTGTTTAAGTTAATTGATTCTGGTGTGTTTATTCCTCAAGTTGAACTGTTATATCTTTTCAAGTGATTCACAAAATGATTTCTTCTTTGTGGCCTTGTTTTGAAAACCTTGCAATAAAAAGCATGGTTTGTAGTAATCAACATATGTGCCTATACTTCATGATTCTCTCTTTATGTGTGTTATATGTGAGTCATTGAGGGGTGAACAAGAAGTCCACAATGATTGATTAAAATAATTGGTTCTTTCACTGTGTAGCAGCAAAGGAATTGATCCATTATTCGTTCCTTTAAGCCTGGGATTAATTCTGTGAATGTCTTTCATCTTTATTGTAATTTGAAAACAAATATTTTCAGTAGTGAAACATTCATTTTAAATTGTTTCATTGATAGCTTTTGTAGTGAAATGCTGTTAGTCTGAAAACATTATATTCATGAGAGTTCTATCAGGGATGTTAATATGCATATGATAACTTTGTACCTTTGATTCTTAGTGACTCAAATTAAGATGTTTTGAAAAGTGCCAAAAGAATTGCTTCTGGTCAATTTATTGAAGAAAGTGTAGATTTTATCATTTTATCTGAAACACTTACTTTGGATTTGGATATTGTTTTAGATGTTTGTACGTGAACAGAGTACACCAGAATCCTATAAGGCCAGACCAATTTTATTTCTTGTTTTACAGATTTTTGTCCTCAGAAAACCTAAAGGCAGGAGGGGGGTGGGGGAAAATCACCAGTCAAAGTAATATTCCTTTTAAATGCTAAAAGTGTTTTACTTTTGGCAATTTATGGCATGTATATGGGGCAAAAAAACAATCTAAATACAAATTTTGTGTAAGTTTACATTTTTGGCCAATAAAAACATTAGAATTTCATTTTTTGAGCAGGGAAAATTATTATTTTATTTTTCTTGTTCTTGAAAAAAATACGACCGGCGAATCTGTAAAACAAGAAATAAAATTGGTCTGGCCTAATCAAGAAATTTGTACATCTTAATGTTTTCACTTCTGACAGTCTAAATTATCATGGTTCAGCTGTACATATATCTGTATATATGTCTCTTGCTAGGTATGTCTGTGGCAAGGTCATGAAGACACATTTTTTGTCAGGCAATGGCGTATTTTATTAAAAATCCATTTGTTTGCTCTCTCCCCAGGCTCTATGAATGAGAAGCTTGCCAGACTCATAGCAGTTGAAAGGTTTGTAATGTTAACATGGTGAATAATCTACAATGAAATAGTAAAACATTAGCTTAAGCTCTGATGAAATCAATAGACACTACAAGCATCACAGCTTTAAAGATTTGTTAATGCTGTTATGTTTCTGGTGGTATTACGTAGCACTTTACTGATGATGTCCTGTAACTTCTCATGCAGTGACTCGGAACATAGTATTCCGTGAGGGGGAAACTGCCATGGAATCATGTTTGTGTCATGAAACGCTTTCATCCGATTGTTTGGCAGTGATGTGCCATAAAACAGTTGATTCCCCATTGGCAGATAATGGTAGGATATACCCTCTGCTGTATGATTGTAGCACAGGTGATTTTACCAGTTTGCGATATCGGTGTGATGCTGTACCCACTGGCAGGATACATTTCATGGAATATACATACTCAGTACTTAATCATTAGATATGTAAGGACACAAAGACACAAAGGTTATGATTGGTCTTAAATAACACTTGTGACTTAATCTCATTGGGTGGTCAGGCTGACTGATTTGGTTGACACATGCCATTGTATCCAAGTGCTCTTATAGATGCTCATGATGTTAGTCACTGGATTGTCTGGCCCAGACACGTTTATTTACAGACCGTCGTCATGCAGCCGAAATATTGCTGAATGTAGCCTTAAACAACAAACAAACATCCAGACACAAAGTTGTCATTATTCTTATCAACTGTTAAATTCAAAAGTATTTCCTCAAAATTGTAAGCTTTATATGATAACTATAGAGGTGTTGCTTAGTGTTGGATGAACCATTGTACATATCACACGTAAGCTGATGTTTTTGTGTACAGGGTTTTCGTCTTTAAGGTATATGGACAGTTTTGATGATTCATGCTGTGTCACATGCTCTCTGACTGCATTTATGATAACTGCGGTTTCATGGTTTCCAGATTGGATGATGTACCTGTTGCTGATGTTGTTCGGCTGGTGGTTCCAGACGCTGCTGTGTTCATCGTCGCACTACTCGTCTTCATCATCTGTCATGTTATTCTCAAGAAAGAGGCAGCTCAGCAACTGGACCTTCCCACAACTCAAGTGGTTCGGGACACGCAGACGCAGAGTGAACTTTGTCATCGCCTTCTTCGGAGAGTTCTTGCTCAGTTTGTTAATCGGTGCCAGCGGGATTATCTTGCCGTCTGTTTTGAACGCTGTCTACTTTTTGACCTTCCTGGTTGTGGGGACTGTGTGGGCGTGTTACCGCAAGCTGGGACGCAAGTTTGCAGGGTTCCGCGTCTTCCTCCTTGTACACTGGACTTCACATCCTTCTCCTTTATCTCTACCAGTTTGAGTTCTTTCAGGACTCATTACCACCCGATGACCTCATCGCCAGGTATGTACCAGAGAACAAAATCATTCCTGTACCTAGTAGCATGCTTGTTGTGAAGGGCTTCCATGGGTAGCTGTGTAAAACATGTCCCCAACATATATTAGAAGTGGATAAATTGGATCAGGGGTCAATGACCTAATCCAGCAGGAGCAGGATGATTCCAGTATGCAGTATTACATGCTACTTGTGGCTCACATGGCCTCAATAGCTGCTGAATGTGTTTGTATGTCTGGTGTTCACTTTGAATACCAACTGTGACTTTATATTAGCTGACTTAGAGTGCCCTTGGGTTGATGATGTCTGTTGATGCTCACGGAATGGTTGGTGTGCTCCAAGCCCCTGAAGGTTTCAGAACACTCGCTCACTCACTCACTTACTCAGAGTTGACACAAGACATCAAAACAGTATTTCATCACTAAGGTTCACCAACTTGGAAGCAATGTTGTACCAACATAAGTTTTGGCTTGTTGAAGATTTGGGAGGCAGAATTGTGGTAATGTCAGGACTCTGTATATCGGTAAATATCATTCAGCTCAGTGATCTGTCCACGCACGAATAGATTGAATCCATGACAGAAAAACAGGGGTATATGTGCCATCAATCTTACTGAATTGAATCTCGTAACTAACATTCTCCAACACAGATATACAGCAATCTCTAGCTAAGATCTCTGTATGGACAACAGCCACGGACTGCGCATAAGTTAATCACTTCCAGGGATATTCTTGCTGCTACTGAAATGCCAAGACAGACATAAATACCAACTGACATTAAGAACTTCTATTTTAAGGAGAGAACTATATGGAAAAAATATATAATTAGTTTGGATGTATTATTTTCAGATGACATTCTAAAACAATTAAGGGAAATAATAAATAATATACTGCAGAGTGAAATAATTGTTTTGAAGTAAGATATTTGCCTTCATATGAATCATGATAATAAAATATCAGAGTGTGATAAGATCTGGGTTAAGACATTTTTGATAACGATTATGATTATTCTTATCTAATACCTCCAGTTACATTGATCAGACAGGTAGTGCGTGGGAGAGTCTGATAATATGCTGAGTCGTGCTCTATCAAGAGTCATATGTTTGCTTACACTGAGTAACTCCAAGGTCAAGGTCTCTGGTGTTCATGTGATATGATGAATAATCACATGGGGTATAAATATGATAACCCCCTATTGAAATAAGTACATGATGAGGAATAGTGGGATGGTTGTTAATTAGATAGCAGCATATAACCTGAATAGCTAGTACATGTACGTTTAACTTAGATATGATCCAGCATACTATTATAAGGGTAATGCTATTTTTGAGGGCATTATCATTTGCAGAAGCCCGAGGTCTTCCATTAACTGCCCGACGAAGGAGGGCAGTTGAAAAAGACCGAGGGCTTCTGCAAATGATAATGCCCTCAAAAATAGCATTACCGTTATTATTGCTAAAATACATGGAATTTGTGTAGAAAGGAAAAAGGAAACAATGAAGGAATTTGACTGTAAGTTTACCCAAATCAACTTCTGATGGGGTTGACTGCCCAAATGCAATTACGTCATCGAACAATTCAAGTGACGTCACAACAGAAAGTGACGATATTCCACCTTGGCCTTCGACATAGCCTGCAACATGTCAAACTATGTCAGTGTTCGGTTTTGGTCCATCAGCAGCCTTAATAGTGCAATTGTTAAGGTTAGCACCTACAAAAAAGCCAATATTACCGCAATTTAAAGCGGGAATGCGGGTTGCTTTGACTTGTTTGACCCAGAATATCTGCCAGTCGAAAGCCAATTAATGTCGAATGAACCGTAAGCCCACGCACCCACTATGACGTCACTTGACAACAGAACTGATAGTGGCCCGTCGTTAAGGTTGAGCGGTCCAATATCATTTGCAGCGGCCCGCAAATTTCTGATAATGGGAGGGTCGTTTCATGATAATTCCATGTATTTTAGCTATAATACAATGTATAAGCATCCAAGTGTAAGAAATTAATTTCACTGTTAACAGATGCTACCACATTATCATTGCAGAATCTGGCAGAGTACATCTGTTTCGCTATGAGGTTAAAGAAAAGGATTGTTATAGAAAAGGATTTGTAAATGACTTCTAGCTACTCAAGTAAACTTTAAATTTACTACAGGCCTGTGGCCTTTTTTAGTACTGAATAAGATTGATTGATCCAGCAGTACTTATGTCTTAGATATTGTCTGAGAACACCTTGACAACCACTTTCACTAATATGAATTTAATGTGTTCCATTCAAGGCTGATCTGCTGCCATATCTTTTCAAAAACAATATCTTGTATAATCTTAATGAATTTATGTTGGAATCAGCTAGCATCAAACATGGGGCAGTTTGAATTCATCATGCTGGGTCCCCCACATGGGTACAGTGTATGGAGTCCATTTGTTATGTACTCCCATTGCTGGAATATTGGTAAGCGTGGCTTAAAACACAACTCGATAGTATCAAACAGTTGTTGTTTAGTAGGCGAGTCAAGATTTTTACATGTATCAGTGTAAATTTGAAAACAGTGGTGTTCCATTAGATAGGATCTGTAGTGAGTTGAGTTTTACGCCGCACTCAGCAATATTCCAGCTTTATGGTGGCCGTCTGTAGATAATCAAGTCTGAAGCAGACAATCCAGTGATCAACAGCATGAGCATCAATCTATGCAATTGGGATACAATGACATGTCAACCAAGTCAGCAGAGCCTGACCACCCGATCCCGTTAGTCGCCTCTTACGACAAGCATGGGTTACTGAAGACCAATTTTAACCCGGATCTTCACGGGTGATATGATCTATAGGGTGAATACTGCATTAGTTTGAAAGCTGGTATCATTTTCTGCTGTTAATATGCAGTGATTGTTGGCGACAGTACATAATGTATCAGTATTAAGTTGCCAGCTTGCAGCCTGTCTCAGATCATTGTTACATTTATAAATAAACAACAAAAACATTCCATTATTTCCATGCAATATGGTCATATATAAATCTGAAAGTAGTAATACTTGGTACCTGAGACCAATATCTTGAGCATATGAATTGTGTATACCTTTCTCAACTATACTGTATTAGTATTATCTGATTATTACTTACATGATCAATATAAAACAAATTAACTGCATTTTTTCTAAGCAATATGTATCTAAGCAATGTGCATCTAAATTTATAAATATAATATTATATCTAGAATAGGACCCCGCTAATATTGGATACCTGTCACCAAAATCCGGAGCTTTAATTGTTTATACCGTTCTAAAATATACTGTGTTAGTATATTTCTTCAGAAATACAGTATGTATACATATTGTAGGAAGTAACAGTTGTAAGGCCTTGTGAATCATCGGGTTAAAATCTGGTTTGTGGCAAGAGGCGATGAATGGGATCTGGTGGTCAAGTTGACTGAATTGGTTGGTGCAGCATTTCCCAATCATGTTGATCAGTGCACATGATGTCTGGCCTGTAAGTCCTGTGAGGCGCTGCTTCCAGTGCTAAGCTGGTTCCCGGCTCCCTTTGCACACTCCAACTTGTGATATGCGAGATGGGGCCCAGCTTATTTCTGGTACCAGATTTCCGGTGACAAGCATACATTCAAGAACCAATTCTGGTTCCAAATTGTTCGACCACCAAACTAGACCAGACCAAGTGAACAAGCATACTTGGCTGTCACAGCTGATGTAATAGATGGCTAATTTGGGGATGGTTAGGTCAGACATTTGTTATTCCTGCAAGGATTATAGGTACCTTACTGTCAACTGACAACCATGAGACCATTTGAAAAGTTATGAAACATTGTTTGCCACCAAAAGTACCTGTTTATGGGGCCTGTTGCTTGATTTTCTGGTGCAGACTCCATTATAAACAGACAGGCTGGAATATTGTTCGTACAGCATTAAACAACATGTTGAGCATATTGAGGGTTAATATTTCTAGAAGTGTTTGTGGCTGAATTATGGAATTGAGTCTGAAGTTCCATGATATCCTTCCATGCATAAACGTTATTTATACACAAGCAACTTGTTCTTGAACAATAGTGATTATTCTACAGAAACAACATGCTGTCTGTCAGCTCTGTGGAGGCTCTCTGTCTTGGCAGCAAGCAATCACTGTCTGGTGTACACAATCATTCAGAGCATTTCACAACAGTCGTTTAATCATGGAGATGAAGGGGTGTATTACTGGCGTTTCGCGGGCTGTCCCTCTGTTGTTTAAAATGCATCATTATGTTGACAAAAAAGATCCAGCTCCAACTGAAGCACGTGAATGTTGATAAGCCATTGGTTTGTGTTGTGGTCATAAACATGTTTTGATCTGTTAACTAGAAAAATGAGCTTCTCAAGGTTTCTCAAATACATATTTGATGGCTTCATGTTTTTTAAGCTAGTGCATACAGACAGACAGTATATGAAATCTGAGTAATGATAATAGCAAAGTTTGAACAGAATGAAGAGCAATTCAAATTACTTACTTTTTAGTGATTATGTGGCAAGTGTAGAAGTTTCAGTTTAAGAAAGGGGCAGAAATGGTCTAACATGCTATACATCCCTGTGCAGAGTTGCTTCCCTTAGGTGTACCAGAAACCGATGATATTCAGTTTGAATCACAGATTGCCCCTGGTTATTCTTGTTGATTTTTGTTGGATTTCCACAGCAACCCTGCCAAACCTTTGATGTACCGGTAGAAGTGTAGAATATTTTTTCCCAAGGTCTTCTTTGTACTGTGACTGAAATTAGTTTAATGGATACCTGTCTAAGTTCTGAAATTGTAGCTCATCATGTCCAGTACTGATATAATCTAATGGCCTTTATAACTACCAGTAGGCTTACATGTATTTCCAGTCATGGCCACGAAACTTTGAAAATTGATCAGAGGGACATCAGCGTGCGTCAGGTCTTAACATACTCAAGCGTGCAGGGGTGGTGGGGTAGCCTAGTGGTTAAAGTGTTCGATCATCATGCCGAATCCCATGGTTTGATTCCCCACATGGGT